TGTAGGGAGCATATGCTTTAAAAGCCAAAGCCCTAATCAGCTGATCAACATGTATTTGAAGACCTGGCAGGGATTTAATTACACTTTGTCCTTTTCAAAGAGCCTTAAGAGTACATAAGGTCCCAGAGAGAAGAACTGGATGTATTTACAATAGTTCCTCATGCAGAGACAGCAGCTGTTCTTGTCTGCCTAGTGGCTGGTTGAGGGCAAGGTGGCCATGACCTCAAGGACCTGTGAAGAAAAAATGGCTTGTATAAATAATGTAATACATGCAGTATCTTTCAAAATACTGCATACTGATTAATGTGAGTGCTGTGTGGGCCCTGGTGTCAATGTGTGCTTGAAATCCTGAGGTGTAGTTATTTAAAACCTAAAGATTGTCCTACAGTTTTCTAATCATTATGTGTCACCTACGCAGTGTTCAAAAATTAGCATAGCTTCTCTTGAGGACATTCATTTTGATGAATCTCAATATTTTCATATGAATGTATGCACTGAATCAAGATGATGGTTGAGAGGAAGAGCTGAACGTACGTGACAGAAATTGCACACTAGATACATACACATAACATCCAAATGCAGCATCACCCTGCTATAAGCCCTGAGGACACCATTAGCAGCACTACTTTATATGTTTCCATAGAGGTGGTGAGAATTACTGCTGCCCCACTTCCCCTTCCCTCCCCGGCTGGGTCCACCTTTGCATTATACAACTTGATATCTGCATTAAACACAGCCTATTAGTGCAATGTTGTCTGCTGACCATATATCACTGTAGCTTATGGAAGCCTTCTTGTACTGAACATGCTTTTATTCCAGATCCTTGAACAAAATTAATAGAAATCCTTGATTATTTTTTAACCTTAAACCCACTTAGACTATTCATATAAGCTTAAAACTGTCCATAATCCTTAAAAGGCCCAAGTGAAGCTCTGGATATATGTTTCTCAGTTAATGATGCAACAGGGAAACAAGTCATTAAATTCAGATATATAAAGGACTAAGTGTGTCTCTACAAGGTGTAATGATCAGAAATATAGAGATGATGTTTCTGCTTTGAAATAACTTCGAAAAGGTGAGATTCTCCATTTGCAGCAGCTTATCCACTTGTGTCTATATGTTATGAGCAATGAGCCATTCCTAAAAGTTTTTTTTTTTTTATTTATGGGACAGTTCAGAGGGTTAATTTTATATGCATATCAGAATCAGCTTTATTGGCCAAGTGTGTTGAAACACAAGTGGAATCTGACTTTGGCACAGTGGCTCTCAGTGTCTATGTACAATGCTCTTCCATAAGGCAACAAGTTAACAAGATAAGACTGAAGAAAAGAAGAAGAACGTACAAAGAAGACAAATGAATGTGCATTAGGAAAATAAAAATAAAGTACTTATAAATATAGAAATATATATACATATACAGTTTAGATGCATTTTTTCTGGTATATACAAAAGTATATTTACAGGTATTGCACTGGGGGTTGTCCTGTCCTGTTATACAGTCGTGGGCATTGATCAGAGTGACAGCCTGGGTGAAGAAACTGTCCTTGTGCCTGGTTGTCTTAGTGCACAGTGACCTGTAACGCCGTCCAGAGGAGAGGAGTTCAAACAGATTGTGTCCAGGGTGTGAGGGGTCTGCAGTGATCCTCTCTGCCCTCCTTTTGACCCGTGAGGTATAAAGGTCCTCCATGGAGGGCAGGCTTGCACTGATGGTTCTTTCTGCAGTTTATCCCGAGAAATAACTTAAAGAGAGAGATACTGTATTCTTACATTTTCATCATTTCTGATGTCTCTAGGCTAACCAGTGCCAGCAGAAAAAACAGCCACTAGTTGGTAGCCTTGCCCTGTGTGTTTCATTCAGAAGCTGAGGTTTGTGATCACTATACACCAGTCCTGTCTGTAAAGCCAGAGTAACATTTCTTATTCTCAACAGAACAGATCAGATTAGAGAGTTTACTACCGAGGTGCAAATGAATATCTTATCCTCTGGTCAGTATCTTTAATCATTTTCTCACATCTGATGAAAATTCACTTTCTCTTTTCAGTTAAATAGAGTTTGCTCCTTTTACTTTCACCAAGTCTTTTGTTTCCTTAGTGTGGATGTGTGCAAAAAGACTAATGTAGGACCTCTGTTAATGACAAAGCCAAAGTTTACATAGTGTGAATATACAGTAGAGTCTCTTCACCACGCCTTGGTGTGCACTGCTGACGTGGAGGTGATTCTCATTACATCCTGTGTGTCTGGGGTCTATACCATAAGAGTGAGGACACTTAGGACAGTGAGGACATTTTGGCCTGTTCTTACTTTCTGTTACAACTTCACATACCTGTTTCAAGGTTAAGAGTTGGTTTTAAGTAAAAGTGTATTTATATAGCACATTTCTAAACCAGAGTTGCAAAGTGTTTCGCATTTAAAAAAAAAAGGAAAATAATAACAAAACAACCACAATAATAAACAATAAAATCCACATACAATATAGACCTTTAATACAAAAAAATCAAACCGATTCAATCAAATCAGAGAGAGAAAAGATTTATGTTAGAATTAGGTTAGGATAAGGGGAATATGTGAGGGGGGGTACCAGACTCTGTGCCCCTCCTCCAGAGAGCCACGGTGCGCCTCTGTTCCAATGGACGCAGGTGGCATCCCAGGACTCCTCCAATCACACCCTCCCTCATGCGGGGGGAGCGTCTAGGACAGGAGGCAGTACCCAACCAACTTCCACACTCAGCACAGCGAAAGTACAGCAGAAAAAGGGAAGCACGTCTGTCCCCGAATGCCGTGCTTTCTGCGGCCCTGCGTGTGTTTTTGTACGTTAGGGTAAGCAGTAAAGCACACACCGGAGCGCAGTGCAGTACTTGCCGCGTCTTGGCAGCAGCGGAGGGCGGTGTAGTAGCGTTGCAACGCTGGAGAACATGAACTGATCAGATGTGGACTTGCTTTGGATTAGACTACTCCAGGGTTGTTTTTCTCTGACATTCTTTCGGTTCCTGTTGTAGCGCGGAGTTGGAAACACTTGGAATATGCCTGGGAAAACCAAGTACAACCTCGTTGATGATGGACATGATTTGAGGATCCCGCTGCACAACGAGGAAGCATTCCAGCATGGGATCAACTTCGAGGCGAAGGTAAAATCCACAGGCAACTTTGAAGGGTAGATTGGTTGGTAGTCGTTAACGTCGAAAGTTTGTCAGCTGGTGTTTCTAAACAACGAGTGTCAACATTGCACTGAGTGTAAAGATACTGTATTCAAAACAACCGAAACCACGTTAGGCCACTTTTTGGGACAAAATGTGATCCCGAGTTACAGTAGTAAAACAGACAAAACTGAGGCTGAAGTTCACCTTTAACACACATTAAGTGGACGCTTGGCTGTTTGAGTGAATAAACACCAAGCTACCGTTTCCTTAACGTGTACCTGTTTCACCTTCCTCCCTCCAGTACATCGGCAGCCTCGATGTGGCGCGGCCGAGCAGCCGGGCTTCACAAAACTGCATTTAAAATCTGGCACTTTTTCCCTGTCCTCGCATATCAGCTGATGAGAATATCTGGTAGAATACGACGTGGGGATCTTTAGAATTACCTGTGGCCCACTGCTATTTTCGGCATCTGTATTAGGACAACTTTTTGATTTGGGTTACTGTCCACCTCAGTGTGAGGAGATATGAGCCGGATAAAGTACTGAAACATAATTTAAATGCTTGTGGTTTGGCTTAATTTTTAAAGCCAAGTTTAAGAGAAGGACTTAACAGTAAAAGTGTAATGTTTCTTTGGAGAACTTTTCCATCAAGCCCTGATAAAGAAATTCTCCCAGCTGAATTGTGACATGTCCTGTATGTATCCTATGGTATGTTTAATACACCAGCTGATTATTTGGATTGTGGTTGGACTACTTGGTTCCACTGATGCCTCAGGGAATGGTATGGAAAGTCACTGAAATGAGGCATAAAATCCTGCCAAACATTATGGTATGAAAGCTACAGTAATGAAAGCACCTCAGACTTTAGATGTGCAGCCTGGCAGTAGGTCTGCTCTCCACTGTTCTGAAGTTTCCTTTGAAGCAATGCACTGAAGTGTGATCTCTCCCCTCCCTCGCCCTCTTTCTGCTGTGGAAACCTAAGCTTTACAGCTCTTTCAGCTTCAGAAAGTAGACAGCCTTAATCAGTGTGTCTGCCAGCTTGGTAGCAGCGGGCCTAGCACCCTCAGTAGGTTGTGCCAGTGGTGTAGAGGTATTTGAGGACTGTGGTAGATGTGCTCAATGAATCCATCACCTCTACACACATATAGCTACACAGGCAACACTAGGATACACTTTATTTGTAATGATTTTAAAGATATTTGAGAGAAAATGGGCTGAATAAGGGCTGTAAGGATTTAATGCAGGATCAGTTCACTTTTTCTGACATTTTATTTTAAATAACAGCCACGTTTATTGAATTGGCAGGTGGAGTGCAGTAGGTATCTGCATGCTATGTGCTGAAGGTGATCCTTGCTGGACAGTCAGAGACACATGTGTATGCACAGTTGAGCAAAAGGTGCTAAATGTTGTTATTGTCCTTTTCATAGAAGTGGCCTGCCCCTGTAAAGTGGACCTACCATTGTGCTGCCATGGCAGCTGCTGTTGGCAGGAAAACAGGCTTTGGTTTGGCTCCTCTACTGTGAAATAGTTTGACACTGACCTGACAACAAAGTGGAGGGAAACTGCAGGTATCTATCTTGGAAGGGAGCTAACTGTGAAAAGCATGGGGCTACTGGAGACGCAAATAAGCCAAAGCAATATAGACTGAATGTTGATTTAAGAGAGAGAGAGAGAGAGAGCAGAGCCTTAATGGAGTGAGCTAAATTGTTTTGGCAAATGAACTTTTTTAAACCAGAAGAGTAGTGGCAGTTTTGCATCATGATTATTTTCATATTGATTACCATGGGTTGGATCTCGTGTAGTTTTTTAAAATTTCTGTTTAGAGTCTGGCTCTCCTTATCAATTCCACTTTTTATTGAATCCTTGTCGATTAAGAAAAGAAGCCGAAATATGTAGAAAGCAGAAACCATCTTTTGTTTCAGCAGGTTGAGACGGTCAAACTGTTCATAAGTGATGAGGTATCTTGTGGTGGTTTTTGGTTTAAAAAAAAAAAAGTTCTCTGTCTCACCATTCATAAGAATTTGTCATGTTTGGTCCTATTGGATTCTGAACCAGTATCATAGATGTATAAGGGACTGAAGCAATAAAACAGAGGCTTTAGTTAAAGGTGCATTAACCCAGACTTTTCACACTGTCTGATAAATCCAGTGACAGTGGGACAGGACGTGGTGTCTCTCAGACACCCCATGACACTTTGCTGACTACAGCCCTTCTGTTGTTGCTCCTGCTGTGTTGTCAAAGTACGGTCTGTAAATCAGCCCCGCCTGCCAACTGGCCAAGGTTAGAAGAAGGGTTTTTCCAGCCACCAGTAGTCATGTCAAACAGCCATGGAGGAGCTGTGGGCGGCTAAAAGTCTGAACCAGCAGCTGCCAGAGTGAAGAGGTGGCATCTTTTGCACAGAGAGAGTGGAACAAAGAAAGAGCAACAACCAGGGTTAACATGGTTTTGGCTGTGAGACATGGAGAGGGTTAAAAGCAGCCAGAGGACTCAGACTGGATTCATGTGGCGTTCTTCCTTCTAAGTGTAACATCAAGAAGGAACTTATTGTCTTTACTCCTTATCTGCTGAGCGGTTTTACTGTGAAGGAGCCAAACAATGTGCTGACAAAGCACAGATCAGAGCGCATATATACAGGAACATCAAAAACAGTGACTGTGAATTATATTGCATATACTCTATAGAGAAAAACAGATTTTCTATACATGGTTCAGTGTTCATTAGTAAAACTGGAAAGCCTTTCCACACCTCAGTGCACCTGATCTCTAACTACAAGAAGTGGATGTAAACGTATGCATTCAGAAAAGATGTTGGTTTATATAGTCTAGTGATCTTGTTGTCTGGCTTAATGTCGTCACACAAACCTCTTAAGAACAGACCTGTCTAACATCTTATACTTTCACCTTGTGGATTTTCTCTTAAAATGTTTTGTAAAATGATACTCCCCACAGTGTTTGGTGTTTTTCAAGCTTTCTGTCACCCTGTCTGTCTGTGCAGTCAGCCAGAGCTGTGTTCTCTGGGAACCGGTTGACGTGTGGTGTCATTGTTTGTTGTGTGTATGAGTCACCTTTAAGCTAGCACGTGATAATAAACCGGTGACATGCAAACCAGGAAATAGACACCTGCAGTGGAGTAATATGTGCAGCAGTGGAGGATCTGATGTTTGTTGCTCTCATACTTTATATACTCTCCCTCTCTCTCACTCACTCACATAAGTAAACATATGCTTAATAAAGTACTGTAGGGGTGACGTATTTTTGTAGGCCAATCCAGATTAGCATCACTCTGGTTCCCTTGATAAAAAGTCAATGGGATTTTTCAGTAAGACATTCGTCACAGGTGGACACCACTCTTATTATTTTTGAAGCCCAGATACAACTGTCAGAAGTAAAAAGCTAATGTTCAGCTATAAATGAAGTACAGCACGGTCCCATGACTTCAGTGTCACCACGACTTCCAACTTGTAAGGTGATTTAGCGAGTTTACCTCTTCTACAAAATCCTTTCCTGTTACTGTGACCTGATCTAGCTGGTGATCAGAATATAAAGAGAACATAAAGAAACTGGGATTGTAGAATGTTTTGTGTTTTTGCTTGATAACTGACTTGAAAGGTGAATTGATTTGATCTCATCAGGTTAGAAGGAGAGGAGACCTTTACAGTGAATTAAAGGGATCAGTTTCTCATTAATCTGTCTTTGCTGAATTAACTGACTGTAGGAAGGTTGAGCATTGTGGGATGAGAAGATTATGTGTCTGAGGAGATGCTGGAGTGAGAAAAAGGGAGAAACAGACATGCTTTGTGGATCGGGACCTTTCTGTGTGAAGAGGAAGAACAAGCTCATTAATGTGGGTTTCAGTGTACAGTTTAATGACCTGTGATTGTTTTATTGCTTCTCATGAGCTGTACAGTGTAGTTAGATCTGCAGTGCAGTAATGGACAGGGGGCAGTCTGATCACTGGAGAGCGATAGCATGAAGATAGTGACTCTGGGTTGGTGGGTGGGAGTCGTACTCTGTACGGTTTCGACTGACACCGTATTGTATTGTGACACACTCATTACTTATTACCAGTTTTATGGTTAATCCAGTGAAGTAAATATCTGACAAATCAGGGTTCTGTGTCATGCAAAAATTGTATGGATCGATTTGTTTTTATAATTCATAATTGTCAGTTGATTGATGAATAGAGTAACTGATCTACAAAGCGGCCTTTTCACCATAAACTCTGGTAAAACACTGTAAAGCAACTGGATCTGAGGTAATTGAATATCAGCAAATGGAAGGTAATTCATTCATCTTGTCAAAATGTCCCTGCAGGGATCAATAAAGTCTCACATTAACATGAACAACATGAGCAGTGCTGTTACCTGTGATGGCTAAGCTGACTGACTCAGTGAAGTAATTATATGGCTGTTAGTGCCTTTCACTTTGACTTTGCATATTGTTCTGTATCTGCTCTGTACACAGTAAAACACACACCTACACTCACAACAGTGGCTCCATTTACCTGAGATATCTCAGCGTGTTTCCCATCACTCTCTTGTCATGACTTTGGAATTTAATAATGACATCCTGTCATTGGCTCAGACCCGAGGATGAGGAGGTTAAAATCAGAATCAGCGCAAGGAAAAGGGTAATAAATGATTAAATGAGGTAGAAAGCTGGTAATCATTATAAAGTTAAAGTGACCACCATTGCTGAAAATGGAAGCTGTTGTTTATTTTGGCCATTATAACTGCAGCTGGAGTTAACCTGCCTCAGTTTGAGTGATGTTAACAAGAGATAGAAGCTCTGCCCATTAATCCACCCAGATAAATGTGCTTTGCAGCAGACATGTCTTGTATTAAAGTAGTAAGACCTCAGAGCACTTTTCAGTTATCAGTCAATGTAGTGTAGTTTGATTTGATTTATTCTTTCAAGCATGTAGAAACAGTTGATATGACAACACACATACACATAATCCAATATCAATTTGCTTATACCTAGTACATGCTTGAACGGAGTAGGAAGAAGTCAGATTTATCCAGTCCTACCCCATGACATCATCTTACCATCATTGGATTGCAAGCAGTAAATGATTCACTTCTACACCACACAGGTAATATACTAAAGAATTATTACAAAGTGTTAACATTCATACACCACACCCACAATGTTCCATGTAATTAATCATTGAGCCTGTTCTTCAGTATTCTAATCCAGTGACGTGCGGTTCTTGTAGTTTTCTTCACTTTATGGTTGAAATGAATTTCATCAGCACACAATTACATCATACTCTGCAGCCTCAGATGCTGTGTAATTATTCAGCACAGCTAGGATATTGAAATTTACTTCAATACACTCTGAT